CAGGGAGGAGACAATCAGGAAATTCGAATCTCTACTGCACCTAGTAACTGCGGTTTCCCCCTTCTTAAACGTACTTTCCCTCTCATCTTTTTATCTTTAGTAAATATGTTCACGATGAATCAACCGGGCTCGTATAATTACACTAGGAACAAGGAAGCGTAGACAGATGAGTCTCGCCCTACAAATAGAGCGTGAGTAGATATGACTGGGCAGCCTTGAAGTAAACACAGTATGGCATGGAGAAACAGAGGCAAAACCCTTCTTCTACGGACCTGTGTTAAATTCCATCCTTCCTTACACAAATCTGCTTCTGGGCCAGTGTTTTTACGTTTTCTGTGGGAACGCATGTTGGCCAGCACAATTTTTGCCTCCCTTTTCCCAGTTCTCAAACCAGACCTAACTGCAAAGAGGGATCAGTTATGTTGTAGCCGATTATTCCCTGATTCGCATAGAAATTTGATGATCTGCACTGCTAATTCGTGGGTGTTTCCTCACAGCGCCCAAAATTTATGTTACCCGATGTGAGAGTTTGATTAAGGTGGTGCGTCAAAGACACTCAAAGAGGAGGAAGGCTATGCAAAACGTTGGTTTTCTAGCTCTCGGGCTTTGTCAAAAGGCCAATTTTTGACTTGGCCATTGTACTACTCCAGGTGGGCTAGTCTTCGGGGCATGTAAGTAGCCTTAATGCCTTTTATATGTCGATCTTATAGATTCTATACAAATACATTGCCTACTTTTGCCTCCGGCGAAATCTTGGGAAGCTACAAAAACACACAAAGCACCGAAATACATTAACGTCGGCTTGAGTAATCTTACATGTTATTCTTAGTCAATCGACATTCATATAATTCATGTAATTTAATTTTTGGGCTTTAGGGTACTTCACCTCTTTTCAATCAATTACAAAACACATTCTGGCTTAAATTGAATGGAAATGTTTAGCGATTTTTAAGACTTTTTGCCCAATGAATACTTATTGGTAAGCTAAGTCGTCTGAGGGTTTTATTTAAACTATTCAACTTGAAGGTTCAGCTATTCAACACGGTTTTGAATGCTTCGTCCTAGCCTGCACTCCTGGTATGTTCCGTAGGATTTTTGTAATCCTTCAAGAAAGTTTGACATTTTCGAGGCCCCTGATTTATTACTAATTCTTTTGGCGGTTTTTTGTCGGAGCAACACATTTCAGGTTTAGTTCGCTTTGACTTGGTTTGCCGTCAAACTGTTCATACCCTTAATTGGCGAATATACTCTATTGAATTCTTTAAAATAATTTGTGAGGATTCTTTTTTGATCTTGACCACTTTTTAAGCTATGGGTTGTTAGCGGTACGGCTGCGGGAGCCTCTCGACTTTTCAGAATTTCACACCTAATTCTAAGTAAAGCTAGGTTCCAACGCCCTTCTTTTGATTTTAAGGGTCACTTTAAAGGAATTAAGTCCTTTTGGTTGGGTTAGCGTTGTTTTTTTATGGCAGGTAAAACTAATTTAAATGCACAGGGCATATTTTTATTATCTCTTCTGTGATACCCAATCTTTTGCTAGGGTTATAAATGATTTTTTGCTAAACTGGTCTCTTTAGGCTTTGGATGTCATGAATCCTTTACGCTTTTAAGTGATCCATTTGTCCGATATAAAGAGACTTCATTTCACCAGTTATGTAAAATCCGATCTTTATGAGTTTATTAATTTGCAAATTATGTTTAAGAAATTGTCAAAGCTTTATACTAATTACCAAAAACTGGACAGCATTTTTGCATATGTCCTACTTCATACATGTGCCGGCGACCCAATCCGGCCGAGTGGATTTTAGGTGCTTTTTCGGCCTAGTAATATTCTTTTTGGCCGAAAAACTTCAATTAATTGTTGTTACTATTAACTCTGTTTTGTATTGTGTCATTATGCCATAAAATCATTTGTTGCGTATGACAGGTGTCCTAATTCAAATAAATGTCTAGTTTATTTGAAAAATATTTTATATAAGAATTTATAAAGATGGTAAGGTTTTTGGGTCGAGTCCAGGTAACTTTCTCATCTCTCTCGGTTTCTTGGCTTAGATAATTACCGTTCATTTCTCTTTGGCTACAATTTTTTTCCACCTTTCTTTATACAATTTATGCTGTGACCGATGTAGGTTAATATCGCATGGTCATACATTACCTTATAAGACGACTACTTGTTCATCATCTATTTTTCCTTGTAAACTCAACAACAGGACATTAAAAGTTTACTCCCATGCGTTTATTAAAAGTATTGTTAGAAAACCCCGTTTTGCATCTCTTGTACTGCTTCCTAACTTTGCTCAGGAGTGTAAAAGGTGGAGGCGAATTTTATTGTTAGATGGTAGGGATTTCATCATTCCATGCTACGCACTTAAGTGATTTCACCTGGTCTTTTCCAGAGTTTGCGGCTGAAGCAAATGGATTTAGAGAAGTCCGACACAAAGCCAAGCCCTATTTCAGTCACTTTCAAGCGCCGAATCCCCAACTTCTTCTTTCACTACAAACTTCTCTTATGGAAGAGCACATTGCTCCGAATACGTGAACCCTGGGTTATCCTCGGCGAATTGCTTCTCCCCGCCCTTATTATCATTGTTGTTGTTGGTCTGCGGTTCGCTGAATTGCCTAAACCCCACCCCCCTTGTCACCTTGTTTCCCAACCCCTCCCTAGCATGGGTTTTATCAACTATATGCGCCACGTTGTCTGCAACTTTAACTATACCTGCAGCCCTCATGACGTCGATGATCAAAGTCAGGCAATTGTGGTGCCCATGTGGATGTCTTTTCTGGATAAACAGAGCCCTAAAAACCTTGAAGAATTTTCCAATCTTGTTCGAACCTTTTCGAAGTTAAAAGGTGAGAACCAAACTTCCGATGACCAATCTCTCTTGTCTGAACTATTCTGCCAGGAGTCGATTTCGAGTATTATTACTGCACTTACTCCTCCTCGTACTGCAAAAGAGCTAAATATTTTCTGCTCTTCTCCCGCCTTCATTCAAAGGATGATGCTTCCGGCATTGTTTCGCAAAGTGGCCAGCACCATTGGTCGTGTGCTTCCCAAGGAAGTAAACTCCGTCCCATCTGTCTTGATTGACTCTGAACCCACCGATTTTGAACATCTCAGAGGGCAGATTCGAAATATGTCGATTTTATTTTGTGGCAATCAAATGGGCTCAAACAGCTTCCTGTCCCTCGTCAATGTCATGAAGGATTTGGGTGATAAAGTTGTCAAAAACGCACTTAATCAAACTTGGATAAATGTACAAACAAAAAATGCGACAGTCTGCTCCATCATGAAGTCCATTTTCAGACAAAAAGCTCTGAGTCCATGGACCACACGATTGAGAAGCGTTTTAGAAGGAGAGGTTTTTTACTACCCAATCACCAACACTACTCAAGAAATAATGAAGCGAGCCAACAACACCGCAGTTATGCTTGAAAAACTGAAGGAAATTTCCACGGGTTGGATGACTTCAAAAGACACATTGATACCGCACATTTTCGTGAATAGTACTATGTCAAAAACTCTGCGAATAATCGCCATACTGTGTTCCAGAAATCCAAATTTGGATCCAAAATCTCGTGAGCAGTGTCGTCGTTTGAATGCCTTTTTAAAACCCACACCAACTGGAAACTACATACATTGGACAGAACTACTTCCACTTATCAACAGCATTTCAGAGGTTGTGGATGACGTCTTAAATAACTGTGTTGTCTATGACCGATTTTACGGCTTCTCAGATACAGCAGTAATGTACGAAGCCCTCAGAGAAGCAACAGCAAATAATAGAACCGTTAAGGTAATCGAGTTCAAGAAATCGGACAAGCTCCTCGATATGCAATTTCGTCTGCAGCCATCAGTTGTCGAAACAACGTACAAATTTCAAGTGACTGATAAACACTGGACACCAGCACCACGGCACGAAACAAAAGAATCCATGAAGTACTTTACGAGTGGTTTTATTGACCTTCAAGACCAAGTGGAACGTGCCTACATTTCAGTACTTACCAAAACATCGCCATCAGATGACCCCTATACTGAAGACTTTCTTCCAACTGAGATGCAATTCGTTCCAGCACCCTGTTACGAAGTGGATCCAATGCTACGTCTTTTCTCTCCCAACATCCCACTTGTAATCGTGGTTATATGGTTGTGCAACTACGTAATAAATGTTCGTGCAGTTGTCTACGAGAAGGAGATTAGGTTGAAAGAATTCACTAAAGTGATGGGAATGGGAAATGCAGTACACTGGTTAAACTGGTTCACTGTTGGTTTCATTATGATGACAGCCGCAAATATACTCGTTACAGTGCTTCTTAAATGTGGTAAGGTATTTCCACGAACAGACGGGTCTCTCCTCTTCTGCTGTTATACGGCTTACATTCTTGCTATCCTTCCGCAAGCTTTCATGACCTCCGTTTTCTTCACTAACGCTAGTTTGGCAGCTGTCTTCTCGGGCATTTTCTATTTCATCATGTTCATCTTCTACTACCTGATTATCATCTACGAATTAGGTTTTGCTCCTCTGATGATCCTCACCTTCTCACCCCAATGTGCAATCGCTATGACATTCTCTCGGCTCATGAATCTAGAAGTTCAGGGTTTTGGTGGACAGTGGTCTAACCTCTGGACTAATGACATATTCAACGAGTCTTTTCCTTTGGGTTTGTGTCTTCTAATGCTCCTTGTAGACGGTCTGCTGGCTTGGATTTGCGTATGGTATCTTGAAAATGTTGTCCCTACTGACTACAGTCTCACGAGAAAATGGTACTTCCCCTTCACACAATCGTATTGGACGGAAGTCTTCCACGGCCGCTTGAAGGCTCCCCGGACAAATGAACAAATGGAGCTGGTGAATGCAGATTTCGATATGGCCTTTCACGAACCTCCAGATGCCGGTCTCAATGTGGGTGTCTCGGTTCGCGGTTTGACCAAGCGCTTTGGGCGCAAAAAAATTGTCGCGGTGAACAATATGTGGGTGGATTTTTATGAGAACCAAATTACATCATTTTTGGGTCACAACGGAGCGGGAAAAACGACCACAATTTCCATTTTGACTGGTATTTACGCTCCTTCAGCTGGCACGGCGTATGTTTATGGACAGGATATTAATTACGAAATGCCAGAAATAAGAAATCATCTGGGATTGTGTCCTCAACACAACATTCTGTTTGATAACCTTAGCGTAGCCCAACACATTCGATTTTACGGCTACTTGAAAGGTCTTTCTAAAGACGAAGTGGAGAAGGAAGTGAACCAATTTTTGGTGGAGCTAAAGCTGGAACATAAGGCGAATGAGTTGTCAAAAAATCTATCAGGTGGACAAAAACGGCGGTTGTCATTGGCAGCAGCGTTTGTCGGTGGTTCAAAAATTGTCTTTCTGGACGAACCGACAGCCGGAGTTGATCCGTCGTCTCGACGAACCATATGGAACTTAATCTTTCGATTCAAAGCATCGAGAACAATTATCCTTACTACGCATCACATGGATGAAGCAGACTTTCTAGGTGATCGAATCGCGATTGTCTCACAAGGCAGGATTAAAGCCAGTGGATCTAGTCTCTTCTTGAAATCCAAGTTTGCGAAGTACTACTACCTCAGCATGGAGAAGTCTGACGGAGTAGTAAAAGCCGCAAATACGGACTCCCAACTCACAAACATTATCTCGACCCAACTGGAGGGCTCAGAGTTGTCGACTTCAACGCCAACGGAGTGGGTGTTTACCCTCCCAGCCCCCAAGGCCTACGATGAGGACGGATTCGTCCGTCTTTTCACCTTCCTGGAGGAGAACAGCGCTAAGCTGTCAAAGGACTTCGGAGTGAAGGGGATTGGCCTCTCTGACACCTCTTTGGAGGAGATTTTCATACTTCTTTCAGATGATCCAAGCAAGATTAAGGTGTGTATGAATGACTTCTTTTTTCCTTACCTAATCAGCCGGTTGCTAGATGGTATGAAATTGCGTAGTAAGGGTCTTAGCATTTACGGTGGGAAAGGATGTAATTAATGAGACATTACCAAAATTTCAGTTGCATTTTAACCTCTGCGTATCTTTTCAACTCGTACGCTTCCAGAAGGGGCAAGCGAAACACGCAGTTTTCTGCTTGGCGTTACACTGATGCAGAAGAGATAAGTGTAGCTATCTTTCAAACCAAAGATATCTCCTCTAGTGCTTTGCACTCAATCACCTTTTAGTAACTCGATGTGCTACACAATTATTTCATGCTTGTAGCGAAGGTCCCCTTATTTCTTCTCACTAGATTGCTTTGCATTCATTCATGAACATATGGTATTAAATTTTGTAAGTAGTATAGTAACTTGCTTTAATCGATGTTTCATTTAATGGTCATTGTATTATTGAAATTATCATTTAGTCATTTTCACTGCTTTGTAGCGCTCCAGCCGTCGTTTTTGTTAGTATAAAGGGCCAGCGGAAACGCCCTGGTACCGACTGAGGAGCCAAATTAGATGAAGCTACATTCTAAACGGGTGAAGAAGTCAGGAGACGGCTTGTTTTGGTCTTGAAGGGTAGATTATGAGGGAGACTTTAATGGAGGTCAAGGTGGTGGGAGATAATGAGCTGATTTCTGAGATTACTCGCCTTTAAGGTAAATGCATCTTCACTCATGACCTAAAGCACGCTATCGTTCCATGAAATGACGGGCAAACAAGCAAGCTAGCATTTGACAAGTGGCCTTTCGAGATTTTAGTGTCTGTTGCAATGAAAAATCGAAAAGAGCACCGTGCTACCAATATTCCTGGCGCCGAATTCCTATTTGAAGCCTATCATTTAGCGCTGAATGACATAACAACTCTACCACCTCGTGACTAGATACTGTCGTCAGCTCACCAAAAGGAAAATGCGGAGGTGGGTGCTTAAGACCCTCCTTCACTGTTTCTTTGTGACGACTTTTTCACTTTTTTAGAATTGACTCGTAATCGCCTGTTACAAAGTATGGTCGTCATGCTTTCCGCAGATCTGAGTTGAAAAACCCCAACCACACGTTTTCATGACTACTCACTACGTATTTAGCGACTCAATTTGCGATGATGGTGATTTTGCTTTTTCTCCCCCACCAGACCGTCAACCCAATGACACAGAAAAAGCTGGCATTTATACGGAAGCTCTTTAAACGGCATACCAAATTCAGCAGCATCAACAACAATTCATCCAACACATCTTCCACAGACGCTGATGGAGACACGGATGAGGATTCAGACCTTGAACCAGTAGTCGAGTTGCCATCAAAATACGAGTCGACAGCCGTGGTGCCAGCAGAAGCAGCTACAGTTGAACGCAACACTGGTTGTCGTCTTTACCTTCAACAGTGCCATGCCTACTTAGCTAAGCGAAGACAGTGTGTTTTGCGCAGCAAACGTGGTTGGATTCTGGAAATTGCACTTCCAGCCTTCGCAGTGACCGTCATGATGGCTGTCATAGCTTCCTATTCCGTAGATACTACTCAACCTAGCATGCCACTTCATCCTTGGCTCATGTCAAGCAGAAAAAACATTCCGCATCTTCAAACTTTCTTCTCTAATACACCTACAAATATCTCGTCAATTCGTTCAATCTCCGATACCTATTCTCAAGCCATTGCTTCAGCCAGAGGCTGGTCAGGAACTCGTTGTCTACCGCACTTCGTGTATAAGCTAAAGCCGGAAAAATATGCTTATTGTAATCTCAAGGACTATACTGTGCCTAATCCTTTGCCGGCACTCACTCCTGAAGGTATTCTAGAGGTGCAGGCATCGGAGAAAGTCAATTGTTTCTGTAAAAAAGCTGACTTCTTCTGTCCTTCCGGAGCCACTGTGCTCCCACCCAACCATCTCCTTCCCACAACGGATTACTTGATGAATTTAACAAACTATAACGTCTCCAACTACCTTCTCAAGTCGCGGAACTCGGCTATCCTTAAACGCTATGGTGGTTTCACATTTATGGTTACTAAGACTGGCTCAGCGGTGGTTTTGGCGAAAGTCCTTCTCTCCAATCAGTCTCGAGTTGAGAACATTTTTAATTCGCTTTTCAATAACTCGAATGCCACAGCACTTGGCTTGAGGGTGGCGGATTTTCTGCTGAAAGGTCTACCACCTACCCAGTATTCACGAATCTGGTATCACAACAAGGGATTCGCCTCCTCAGTAGCCTACCTCAATGTCCTTCATAACCTTCAGCTGCGAATGCTATTGGCTAAAAACAAGGTCGTCCCAGGTAAAGTGCTTCCTTCTGCTTCATGGCTTTAAATGCTTTTGTGTGGACCTATGAACGTCATCTTTGTTACCCAATGCGATAATTGACGTATGCACGCCCTTACATAAGTCCTCAAATAAGGTAGCCCTAAGTGCCACTTGTTGATGAACCAGTAATATTTCCGCATTTGTCTGTGACAGGCGATTTTCGCATTTTCCTTACCCATGTCACGGCAACCTACGTCACCTCTGGTAAAATATTTACTCCAAAAAAATGCAAAGCATGTAGTTTTTTGATTAACCGTAACTTCTCTCCGTTATAGCAATAGGTCCTGTCAACGTCTTACCCCCACTTTTAGAAATGCCAAAGTTAAAATTTTGAAGAGTGATTTGTTTGTGACATTTTCGGCGCTTTCGAGGAGTGAGTTGCGGGAAACATTCTCAACCTTCTCCTTCACTCGAATGTGCTTTGAGCTGCACCACTTGGAAATAGATTTATCATCATCGGATAATGCCGCCAGTCTTCACTACTTCCTCTTTAGCTTCGCTTCGTGTAATGTGGAGGAAACCGTGTCCTCAGATTATGGCTATTAAAAAGGGTTGGATTTTTTTTCATCATATCTAGCCTTGCTTCATGACTGACTGTTGGGATGTATACCAAGAGTTGATGTGGCTGCATTTGTCCTTCTGTTTTATATTCTTCAAGGATTCAGCCATCTGCAACAAATGCGACATTTTGAGGTGGTATCGAGGCACCAAAATGCATGATGCGCCCCTTTTTAGAGTGGGATTGATCAGCACTGCGTTACCAGGCAAATAGGGTAGCTAGGAAACCAGGAATATGAGTGTCGGAAGCTTACTTCTACGATACTGATATAAATACCAAACTGAAAGAGATGGGACAGGTACATAAAAATGTAAATTAACTACCCTTCTGCTACAACTTTAAAAGCCTGCATTTTGAAGTCCATGAATGCATCAGCATGTTGTGAGTGGGAGAGGTTGCGTATCGTCCGGAAGATGGTAGAATCTCCTGCTTCAGCGGTACCATTCGGGTGATGAGTAGATCAGTATTTGGACCAGGTTTGCGTGTGAAGCTGCCGAGGTTACTGAGACTCAAAGCCATAGGGTCAGCTGTGGACTATGTCTTTAGCACTTTTGTTTGTTTTTTTTCCCACGATAAAACTCTGAATCTACCCTTGGTTAGGCACAAGAAAAATGGAGGCAATTTTGGCATGCAAATATGCTTTGGTGAACAAAAGGCGTCCTATCAAGTAGGTACCGTGATTGCGCTGAATTTTATTGTGCGGACCACAATCCAAGCGACTATGCACCTCCTTAAAGTATATACCTAGTAAATAGTCCAGTACTACTGATTTGATTCGGGAATGCACATGGAATTCACTTGCTTATTCAAAGAAGAAGGTGAGAACTTACTTCGTCCACT